GAGTCAGACACGACAGAAGCGCCTTAGCACAGGCGCATGTCAGGAATTGGGAAATAAGATCAAATAGTTATTTTTATTACAGCACCCACCTTCTCATCTTGCTAAGTTCTGACTTTAGCCTCTCCAGGTAGTTTTTTGTTTTGTTTTTTTAAAGAAAACCTTCCTCAGTAAACTTTGCCAGGCTCAAACGACTCAACTGAGTCATTTACTTTTTTATAAGAAGAGAAAAACCTGTCCTCACTATCTGAAGGATGGACTTGTAAATTGTATGTCACATTTTATTAAGAAAATATAGAAAAGAATAATATATTATAATCAAGGGTGGTTTCTTTTAAGGTGCAAGGTTGTCTTACCATACAAAAACTAATCAGTGTAATTCACAATATTAAGATACTAAAGGAGAAAAATCCATACAATCATTTGAATATACAGAAAAAAGCACTTGGCAAAATCCAATTCAGGAAATTAGGAGTAAAAGGAAACTTTCTCAATCTAGTAAGAGCCTGAAAAACCTACAGCTCACATTTTTCTTAGCAGTGAAATATTTTTTCACCTTTTTATTGAAATACAGTTGACTTACAACATTGTCTAAGTTGCAGTTCTGCAGGCTAAGCTCCTCTGGCCTTGGATTCTCCAGGCAAGAATCTTGGAGTGGGTTACCATACCCTCCTCCAGGGGATCTTCCTGACCCAGGGATTAAACCCACATCTCTTATGTCTCTAGCATTGGCAGGTGGGTTCTTTACCACTAGCTCCACCTGGCAAAGTGATTCAGTTATATATATATATTTCAGATTATTTTCCATTATAGGCTATTTTAAGATATTGAATATACTTTCCTTTGTTATATAGTAAATCCTTGTTGCTTATCTGTTTTATATATAGTAGTGTCTATCTGTTAATCCCGTATTCCTCATTTATCCTTCCTCTGCCTCTCTTTCCCCTTTGCTAACATAAGTTTGTTCTCCATGTCTGTGAGTCCCTTCCTATTTTGTAAATAAGTTCATTTGTTTCGAATTCCACATATAAGTGCTATCATATGATATTTGTCTTTCTCTGTCTGACTTCACTTTAATATGGTATTCTTTCGGTCCATCTATGTTGCTGCAAATGGCAATACTTCATTTTTTATGACTAATATTTCATTGTGTGTGTATATGTACACACATGCACTCACACACACATATATATAGCAAATCCTCTTTATCTTAATAGTGATATATTCAATGCTAAAATTGTGAACAAAGTACAGATGTCCCATTTCACCACAAGTACTCACCAAGCAGCAGAGGTCCTAGCCAGTGTAATGAGGAAAGGAAAAAGAAATTAAAAGGCATAAATTAAGAAAGAAAAAATAAAATTATCTCTATTTACAGATGACATGCTTGATTATGAAGGAGTTCAGAACACCCCACCCCAAAATATGCTGCTTGTTTATTTTGGGCTGAAGGCATTTGACAAATTGCAGATACAGAAAGGGCTCTCTGACCTCCCCTTTTTCTACCTCAAAGCAGGTCATAAAACTTCCCCTGTGAAGAGTGCACTGTCTGCACCAGGAAGAGAACATTCTTATTAACAGAACTGGGATTTTTTTTTTTTAACAGAACTGGGATTTGATGCCAGAGAGGACATGTACAGAAAAACTACTAACAAAGGCCTTATCTTCCATCAGTTTTCAGCAAATATTCCCTAGACACTGTCCCACCATGTCCTGCATCTTGATCAAGCCTCTCTATCTTGTTACATCCCCACAGTTTATTGATTTTGTTTAAATATATATATAAGCCTTGAGGCCTAATGGCCTCTTCGGGTCTTTATTTTCCTCCTGAACACTACTATGTACATGTAAGAACAGTAGGTAAAATGTATATATTTTTCTCCTGTTAATTTGTCTTATGACAGTTTAATTCTTAGGTCTAACACAGAACCTAAAAGAGTGGAATAAAGTTTCTTCCTTCTACATTTACATAGGAAATCCGAAGGAATCTACAAAACAACTACTAGAATGAATAAGTGAATTTAGCAAGATGGCAGGATAGAAGGTTAATATATAAAACTAAATTATATTTTATATGTAAGAGCAAACCATTGGAAGATAGGTGTTTAATTCCATTAGCAGTACTATGAAGAAGAAAAAGATATTTAGGGATAAATTTCACAAAAGAAATGTAAGACCTCTGTACTGAAAACCCTGAGACATTCTGAGAGAATTTAAGGTAACCTAATTAAATGGAGCCCATGCTCATGGAATGGGTGACTCAATATTATTAGCATGTGAATTCTCTCCACATTGATCTGTAGATTCAACATAATTTCTGTCATAATTCCAGCAGCTTTTTTGTAGAAACTGAAAAGGTGGTTCTGAAATATTTATAGAAATGGAAAGGATCTAGAATATCCAAAAAGTATATTTTAAAAAAACTTAGAAGTTTGAAATTAATCCAAAAAATGAATATTGATAGATAAGAAGACAAAGCAAGTACAATAAACTGTCAACAGGCAAAACTAGGAGGTAGATATGTGGCTATTCACTATAAAAGTCTCCAACTTTTCTGTACATTTAAAAAAATTATCATAAAATGTTGGGGGAACCCTTGTATAAGTCTGTCTTGAAGACCTTTTGAAAAGGACAGCTTATGTCACACAGCACATAGCAAAACCTAAAAATTATCTGCTCATCTATTTCCTCAAAGGCTCATATCTAGCTTATCATTATAAATATGCATTATTCTTCTGTTCTAGAATGTAAAGAAATGTGTCTTCCTTTTTCAATAAAAAGGAGATCTCAAATGCAGAGATCAAGGTAGAGGCAAGTGAAAATATCCAAGGCAAGTGACAAACTGCATTCTTACTTGATAATGACAGGTTGTTTCTGACCCCAGATGGTAATTTAGATTTGGTTCCAAATGACTACAAGGTATTTCCAAAAATCAAATTTACCTTCAAAAGATGGGATCTTCCCCCACTAAAGAAATCTCAGCTAAGGCTAAGTACAACATTCATTCATAAGGAAGCGTTTCAGACATGTTGTACCAGTAACAGCATTGTTAGAATAGTATAATAATCCCATGAGTTAACTCTTTGGAAAAGGACTATATCCTAGTGGAGGTATACGTTAAAAGAGCCTTCTAAATAAACTACATTTTTTTCATGATGTAGCACAGAACAATAATGGATGTTCATAATGATAAGCTTATTTATCAAGATTAAATTACAAGTAATATATACTGTTTACCACAGGCATGATACAGTTCTATTTGAAAAACTTTCAATAGAAAGAATATAAGTCATATATAGCTTATATGTGGAATCTTAAAAAAAAAATGGTACACATGAACTTATTTACAAAACAGAATCACAGATGTAAATGGGTGGGTGTGAGGGGAAGCTGGGGAATGGAATGGGGTGGGGAGAGAAGGCATAATTGAAAGATTGACATGTACACATTACTATATATAAAATATATAACTATTAAGGGCCCACTATATAGCACAGGAACTCTACTCAATACTCTGTGGTGACCTATATGGGAAAAGAAGTTGCTGCTGCTGCCAAGTCACTTCAGTCGTGTCCGGCTCTGTGTGACCCTATGGACAGCAGCCCACCAGGCTCCTCTGTCCACAGGATTCTCTAGGCAAGAACACTGGAATGGGTTGCCATTTCCTTCTCCAGGAAAAGAAGCTAGAAAGGAGAAAATAAATGTATATGTGTAACTGATTCTCTTTGCTGTGCAACAGAAGCTAACCCAACACTGTAAATCAACTATAGTCCAATAAAAATTTAAAAAAATAATACACCAGCTATGAAACAAAGAAAGAGCAAAGAATGTGTCATTAAAATCTCTGATGCTTGAGTATCAGTTATCTGAAAAATTTACTTCTGTGGGATGGCTCAGTCTCTTTCAGAGTATCATATATTTCTAAATTCACTTATGGATATATCTTGACACTTTGTTTCTTCTAGTCTGGGATGGGACCTTCAAGCCAAAACTCTGAAACGTTAGTTATCAGTACAGATGTTCTGAGAGACATCTCGCTGTGACCATCAGAGATCTATTCTCTAGCAGCGACAGGATGACTTAAAGAGAAAAAGACAGTTATATTTATTCCTGCTTGAACAACTCATCAAATTGGTAGTAAATCCAGTGAAAAGACAGTATTTCCAAATGATGTTCTGTGGAGTTTCGTACTTGCAACGTATTCCTGAGAATAGAACAGTTGATGCAGTAGCTGTAGATCATATCAGTTCTCTAAAGGTCACCCTTTTTCATCCCAAGGATTCTGGTAAGGATTGAAGGGGAAGTGCTCGCTTCGGCAGCACATATACTAAAATTGGTAAGGACTGAAGGGGAAGACATTTGTGATACACTTAACACAGTGCCCAACACATTAGGTCAATGCTTAGGGAGTGAAGGCTACTATTACTTTTTATGGATTGTGGAGATAGTATTTTAAAAAGTGTAACATAAGAGTCAGGAAGGAGAAAAGAAAATTATGTTTCTGTTAATCAGTTCACAACCACTTACCATTTTCCCAAAAAAAGCACCAAACATTTGGTGTTAATTACCCAAGTATTTTGGGTTTTGTTTTCAGTTTAGTTCAAAATTTATATTTTTACCTTCACTGATAAAATGAATACATAAGGGACTTCCCTGGCAGTCCAATGGTTAGGACTCTGTGATTCCACTGTAGGGAGCAAGTTAACCCCTGGTTGGGGAACTACGATTTCACAAGCTGTGTGGCGTGGCCAAAAAGAAATAATAATAATATGTAATATAATTATCCTCATTTTCAAAGAAAAACTAAATTGAAACATGTAAGATAAACTGTGACTGTTTCCCTACTGCCTCCTACTCTTGGTCCATGTCCTCCAGAAAGATGTCAACCTGTATCTGTTTGACTACCTGTGAAACTCTGTTCACATTTATGACATCATCGTGGGCATTTCAACATTAGCTTTAGTTGTCTTAGTCATTGTATAACCACTTCAAGTCCTCCCACAAGTCAAGTTCCCTGTGTAGCTTTGATAATCATCTCAAAACATTTGAAGGGATTTGACAAGCCCACACACCTCCATCCTCACAAATACACAAGTATCTCTGGGTTAATCTAGGGGTTCAGGAGATACAGATATGCCAAAAGGTTTTGGAGACCCAACTCCATCAAAAAGCCTGAGGAGGAGACTTGAAAGCTCACTGCCATAACCAACCTGGTGAGTCATATAGTCAGTGGGAATCAGTTAATTTCTTCAAGGCCTGTTGTCTGTCTGTCTGTCTGTCTGTCTGTTCTGCTCCAAGGACTCTAGTAAAAGGTGGGCTACAATTTAATAAAAATATCCCAGAAAGATTCTGCAAGACTGGAAGTCCTCCCTTTCTCTAACTCCAATGCAAGTTACCACACAGGCCACTGAAATGTAGAGTGAGTCTTTCAAATTCAATGATAGCATAGTCAATATGTCACGTAGATGATTCAAATGCAGCAGGTTACATTTGCTGCCATTCTCCAGGTGGTTTTCTAGGCAGTCATTATATTTTGTGGGCTGTCTGTCCTGTAGCTTTTGATATTCCAGAAGGATTGACGACATCCATTTCTTTCAAATAGGGCAGTTTTCAATTTAGCTACGTTCAGCAACCTACAAATCAGTCTGCAAGGCACTATGAGGAAGACAGCTTTCAGACCTCGGCTATGTTGCAGGTGATTCTGCCAAGAACCGTGAAGTACAGATGCTCTGAAACCTTTGATGAGAACAACATCAAAAGTGAGTTTCCCTTTGAGCAAGATACATGAAAGCAAAAACTTAGCTGATGGCATCATGTCACAGGGTTCTTTTTAAATAATGAAAAGAAATGAGGCCAAGGCAATATTTATTTCCTCATTGCATGAAATTAGATCTTCACTAAGTATAGATGCATGACAGAGAAATAATCTGTAAATTCTTGCAAACTTGAAAAATCGCAAAATAAAACAGCCACAAAATACTCCCATTTCTATAGTTTGTTGTTGTTGTTGTTGTTGTTTGTCCTTAGAGTTCGTTCCTTCTGAGAGCTGTGAAAGAAAGATCTGTTCCATGCCTTCCTTCTGGCTGTCTTCTTCCCATGTCTGTTCATGTTATCTTCCTTTTCTGCGTATCCCTCTGCCCAGCTTTCTCTCTTTATAAAGACACCAGTCATATATGATTAAGGCGTGATAATGACTCACTTCAACTTGAGAACTTCTGTAAAGACCTTATCTCCAAATAAGGTTTTGCTCTTGCCCTCCAAGAGTCTCTGTTTCCCCAGACCCATGGAAGTTCTGTAATCAAATCCTGCTGGCTGTCAAAGTCAGGTTCCCTGGGGATTCTCAGCCCCTATGCTGGCTCCCTAGGTAGGGAAGTCCATTGTGGGGCCCAGAACTTTTGCAACAGTGTGAGAACTTCTTTGGTATAATTGTTCTCCAGTTTGTGTATCGCCCATTTTGAGCTTCTGTGGTGGGGCTAATGGCGACCTCCTCCAAGAGGACTTATGCCACATGCCGCGCCTCCCAGGACTGCGGCTATCAGAGGCCCCCCCATCCCTGTGGCAGGCCACTCCTGACTCATGCCTCCACAGGAGACCCTCAAACAGTCACAGGCAAGTCTGGTTCAGTCTACTGTGGAGGTCACTTCTTTCCCTGGGTCCTGATGGGCACAAGGTTTTGTTTGTGCCCTCCAAGTGTCTCGGGAGGGTATGAGGTTTGATTTTAAAAGTGACTGCACCCCTCCTACCATCTTGCTATGGCTTCTCCTTTGCCTTTGAACCTGGGGTATCTCTTTTTGGTAGGTTCCAACATTCTCCTGTTGAAATGAAAAGATGCTTGCTCCTTGGAAGAAGAGCTATGACAAACCTAGACAGTGTATTAAAAAGCAAAGACATCACTTTGCTGACAAAGGTCCATACAGTCAAAGCCAAGCTTTTTCCAGTAGTCATGTATGGATGTCAGTGTTGGACCATAAAGAAGACTGATTGCCGAAGAATTGATGCTTTCTAACTATGGTGCTGGAGAAGACTCTTGAGAGTCCCTTGGACAGCAAGGAGATTAAACAAGTCAATCCTAAAGGAAATCAACCCTGAATATTCATTGGAAGGATTGATGCTGAAGCTGAAGGTCTAATACTTTGGCCAGCTGATGCAAAGAGCCAACTCATTGAAGAAGGCCCTGATGCTGGGAAAGATTGAGGGAAGGAGGAGTAGGGGTTGGCAGAGAATGAGATGGTTGGATGGCATCACAGATTCAATAGACATAAGTTTCAGCAAACTCCGGGACATAGTGAAGGACAGGGAAGCCTGGTAGCTGCAGTTTGTGAGGTCGCAAAGAGTCAGACATGGCTGAACAACTGAACAACAGCATATCAGAACCTTAATAATATATCTATAAAATAGTGATTGGATCCCGTGGAATCAAGCAGGTTCCAGCTGACTACAAACACTTCATATCTCCCAGCTGTTTGTACAAACATAAATTATTTGGATGCATTGGCCTGTGAACATTTTTTTTTTCTGTAGTTTGAGGGTTAAATATGGCCATGAATCACCAATTTTTTTCTGCCAAGAAAATTGCATGAGACCAGATGAGAGGTAAATTTTGTTCTGTTAATTGTAGTTGAAAATGCATGGTGCCACTTAAATCATAAAACTTAAGTTGAGTATACCAGAGTGAAAAAGAAACCTGTTAACAAGTCCAAACTTGGTCTGCTCGCCACACAACAGGCAAATTAACTGAGAGACAAGGTTTTGAGGCAAGGACTACAACTTTATTTGGAAAGCCAACTGACCAAGAAGATGGAAGACTAAAAAATAATAATAATACATTTTTTTAAAGGAAAAAATTTTAAAAAGAAGGAAAAAATAGCAACAAACAAATAACAATCTGCAATAAAATTGATCACAAAGGAGTTTCTGATCATCAGGAAGGAAGAGGGTGAGGGGAGAAGAAGAGGGTACTAATTAACTGAGCCATGAAAGTTTTTATAGTGGCCAAAAGCCTCCCAAACATTATAAAAGACACAAATATAAGCATCTAAGAAACTCAAAGAACTCCCAGTTGCTAAAGAATACCACATCAGGAAGGCTTCCCAGGTGGCACAGTTGTAAAGAATCAGGCTGCCAGTACAGGAGATGCAGGAGACACAAGAGACACCAGCTCGATCTCTGGATTGGAAAGATCCCCTGGAGTACAAGATGGCAACCCACTCCAGTATTCTTGACTGGAAAATTCCATGGACAGAGGAGCCTGGCAGGCTATAGTCCATGGGGTTGCAAAGAGTCAGAAAGACTGAATGTGCATGCATACATATACCACACCAGGAAACGTTATAATCCAGCTGATGAAAGGCAAAGACAAAGAGAATTTTAGAAGTAGTAAAACAGAAGTTACTTATCATACACAATGAATCCTCAAAAAAGATAATCAGATTTCTCCTAAGAAATTTGGAAGCTAGAGGTAGTGGCTAATATACTAAACATGCTAAAAGAAAAAGAGAAAAAGAGAAAAACTGTTAAGATTCTTTAGATGAGGATTATCTGGCAAAACTGGACTTCAAGAGCGAGAGAGGAAACTAAGACATTTTCAGGTAAACAAAATCGGAGGGTGTTCATATACCACATTTTGTTTATCCATTTGTTAGTTGAGGGACATTTGAGTTGTCCTTTTCGATTATTATAAAAAGTTGGACCTTTTCGATTATTATAAATAATGCTGCCATACACATTTTTGTATAGACATTGTTTTCAAGTCTCTTGGGTGTTTTCCTAGGAGTGAAATTGCTGGGTCATTCTGGGAAATCTGTGTTTAACTGTTCGTAAAACAAAGTGTTTTACAGAGTTGTACATTCTCATCAGCAGTGGTGTGTTCCAGTTTCTCCACATCCTCATCAACACTTGTTATTGTCCATTTATTTTTTATCATAGTCATCCTAGTGTGTGGTATCACTCACCTAGTATGAGATATTTCTTGTGCTTTTGGTTTGCATTTCCCTGATTATTAAATGTTGTTGAGCATCTTCTCATGTGCTTATTAGCCATTTTTGTATCTTCCTTGAAGAAAGGCCTATTCAGATCATTTGCTCATTTTAAAATTAGGTTATTTGCTTTTTATTGATGAGTCTTTATATATTCTGAATACTTTCATCAGATATATGAGCTATAAAAAAATTTATCCATCCTGTGTCTTTTCATTTTCTTGTAGTGTCCTTTGATGCACAAAAGGTTTTAATTTTAATGACATCCTGTTTTATTCTTTGGTTGCTTGTGCCTGAAATATCATGTGTAAAGATAACACTGCTGAGACCAACATCACAAAGGTTTACACCTATGTTTTCTTTGAAGAGTTTTATAGTTTTAACTCTTAGATATTTAGAGCTTTGATTCATTTTGGGTTAATTTCTGTGTCTGGTGTAAGTTATAGGTCCAACATCATTCTTTTACATGTGACTATCTAGTACTGTTATTGGAAAGGCTATTCTTGGTCTGCATTCAATTGTTTTCACTCTCTGGTCAAAATCAACTGACAACGGGTTTATAGGTTTATTTTTATTTANTTTTGTGAAATTTATTCCTATTTTATTATTTTTAATGCTATGATAAATACAATAGTTTTCATGACTTCACTTTTGTATCATTCATTGCTAGCATGTAGAAATACAGGGGATTTATGTAGATTAATCTTGAATCTTTCAATCCAGTTGGATTCATTTGTTATCTCTAAGCCCATATGTGTATATGTGTGTATGTATATATGCATGTGCATGAGTGTGTATTCCTTAGGATTTTCTACATCTAAGAACAGGTCATTTGCAAATTAAGAGTTTTATTTCTTATTTTTCAATCATAACTCCTTTTATTTCTTTTTCTTGCCTAATTGTCTTGGCTAGATACTCCAGTATAATGTTAATAGAAATGGTGAGAGTGAACATCTTTGTCTTGTTCCTGATCTTATGAGGAAAACACTTTTTCTTTCACCCATTAAATATGATCTTGGCTCTGCTGTTTGGTTTTGTTTTGTAGAGCCCTTTATTGGGTTGAGGGAGTTCACATCTATTCCTCATTTATTGACTTTTTTATCTTTAAAGGTTTTGGATTTTGTCAAATGCATATTCTGCAACTATTAAGACAACATGTCATTTATGCCTCTATTCTGTTAATATGGTATATTACATTGACTAATTTCAGATGTTAAACCAAACTTAAATTCCTAGGATAAATTTGTTAGTCATAGTGTATAATCCTTTAATATATGCCTGTTCATTTTGTTAATACATTTTCTAAGGATATTTTAATCCTTATCTGTTAGAGATTAGAGAAGGAAATGGCAACCCACTCTAGTATTATTGCCTGGAGAATTCCATGGACATAGGAGCCTTCTGGGCTACCGTCCATGGGGTTGCAAAGAGTCAGACATCACTGGGTGACTAAAGCATTTGTCAGAGATATTGGTCTGTACTTTTCTTTTGATGTCTTTATCTTGTTTTGGTATCGAGATGGTGCTGATTTCATAGAATGAACTGAGAAGTGTTTCTCCCTCTTCTATTATATTCAAGTTTGTGAAGAATTGTTATTAATTCTTTAAATGTTTGGCAGAATTCACCAGAAAAGCCACCTGCTTCTGGGCTTTTATTTGTAGAAATATTTTTTATTACTAATTCAAGAAGACTGTCCAATTTTTCTTGCCAGTATTGAAAGTGGGATATTAAAGTCTTCTACTATTATTATTGAATTGTCTATTTCTTCCTTCGATTTTACAAGT